ATAATTTAATTTAATATATAATAATTTAATTTAATATATAATAATTTAATTTAATATATAATAATTTAATTTAATATATAATAATTTAATTTAATATATAATAATTTAATTTAATATTACCTATTAATTATTTTTAACAACTTATTTATTTTGCTTTAATCTAATCATAAATACTTTTGAATATTAAATAAATGTATTTAAATATCAAATAAAATTTTTTATAAAAGATCAAAAGTCATAGCAATAATTTAACCTATTTAATTTATAAAATCCAGAATCAACTATATCTGTTATAAAGAAATAATTTATAAAACATTACTATTAAAATTAGTTTTAATTATTTCAATTATTTGTTAATATTATTGATATAATAAGTATTATCTTTTATTATTTTGTATTATATTATTTTTATTTCAAATATTTATTTAATTTTGTATTGATTCTCATTAAATACAGTATGTTTTTTAATGAATTTTATTTAATTTTTTTATTACTTATAATAAGCGATCATATTTTTTAATATATATATTTTTAAATATAAATATAATTAATTTAATATAACTTAAATCAAAAGTCAATTGATTAATTATGGAAATAATAAATTCTTATAATCAAATAGATTTAAATTTTAAATTTATTTTTAATAATCTATGTAGTATTGTTATTATGTTATAATTTATAGATTTATGCGTTAAGTTTATATTAAAGAATTTAATATTTAAAATATATCATTTAAAATTGTTCGAGTTATATGATTTAAAATATAAAGCACATAATATCAATAATACTTCTTGTAATATTTGATATTAAAGAATATTATAAACAAGATATTTTTTGTTATTAATAAAGAAAGCAAACAATTTTATTATTTTTTAATAATTTATATACAATACATGCTAAATATATTTTTTACAAGAATTAATTATATTATATAATTCTTGTAAAATTCAAATACAGTACGTGGTTGCATTTATGATTTTATTATTTGTTATTAATATATAGAAAAAAATATCCTTGTATGGTTATATTTATCGTATTTATTTTTGTGCAAAGTATTTACTTTATGAAGTTAAAATCATTAATTAATAACATTAGAATTTTCGGTAGCGTTTAAATACGCCGAATCTTTTAGACAAATTAGACTAAGAGAAATTAATATCTAATACAAAATCTGATAGTATAAAACATCTATTTTAGACAAAGGCGTGCAAATTTAAAACAGACTATTATCGACTATCACCTAATACAATGCACATTATATTTATTTAGACCAATAAGTTACGTATGTGGATAAAGATGTTAAAATACTACAACTACAGAAATTACTCTTATTCAGCTTAGATAAATCTTCAAATATTTTCTGTAGTCTATTAACTTCAATAATCTATTACAGTACCTGCTAAGCATTATCAATCTCTTCGGGGATCACCAGATCAACGATACCAGTGTCTAGAAAACAATTATCAGTACCATATTCGCTGAAACGTGTAAAATTTACAGATGAACGACGAGCGACTATACATACCTGATACTCCCACGGATTTCACAATGCGTGAAATGTCTATTAGACTACTCGTATAGGATTTCATATTGGATTTCGTATTGGATTCATGAGAATCCAACAAAGTACTGTTGTTGTTGCATGGTAAATTATTCAAATATCTTTCAAAGCTTTGCGATTTTTCAATTTCTTCGATTTGGCCTTTTATTTTATGGAAGCTTTTTGATTTTGAGTGAGAATACCAACCCCAGAGACAATCATGCAATTCATTTGCGCTTGGTCGTTCGTTGGGGTCTTTTTTCCAACATCTTTCAATCAAATCGATGACTAATTGTGGGGTAAGATTTCTATTGATCTCTGGACGACGGCCTCGAGCAATTTCTAACGCAAGGTTGGAATCATGCTCAACATCAAAAAATGGTGGACATCCTGACGATACTTCATATATTATCATCCCAAATGAGTATATGTCAGTCGCCATCGTGTACTTTTTTTCGCATAAAATTTCCGGTGCAATATATGGCAATACACCAAATATTTTGCTATTCTCTGCTCCCTCCGGTGGTTTATAATCGGCCGGTTTACAAAACCCAAAATCTGTGATAGAAGATTTTAGTTGTGAAAGAACGATATTTCCAGGATGCAAATCCTTGTGAATTAATTTGGCCTCATGGATATCACGGAGACCTTTAGCCGCAGTACATAGAATCTCTAGTTTTTGGGTCCACGTTAAGCTCAGGAAATTCTTGCTTAAATAATTACGAAGGCTACCATCTTTCATAAACTCCATAATCATCATGAAATCCCCAGTTTCTGGATCTTTGGTAATTCCAAAACATTCTATTGTATTGCCAAGCTCATAATGTGATCGCATTTGTAGTTTAATCTGGTGCATAATTACATTTGGTAATAGCGTATTATTAACCAAACTTTATCATAACAACGATAGAATTGAAAGCAACTTACTTCGTCTAAAAACTCTTCAGTTATATTCTTCGAATTGTGTAAACCTTTCAAAACAACCTCCATTTCACCTTGTCTTTTCCATTTTTGATTCTTATTATCGAAATAAAGAATGAATCCGTCCTTCCATTTGGCTTTATACACCTTTCCGTATCCAC